TGTTGACTTTCTTTTTTCTTTATCTACTTTCTTTTCTTGGGTGTGTTGTTGGGAGGGGCCAGTCCTTGGAGGAGATTATGATTCAAAAGTGGAGGATTAGTTTAAGAGAGGAAGACCTTCAATAAGATGAGTTGACAGAGTAACTATAACAATGGGTTCAAGTATATCAGGAGCAATGAGGATGACACAGGATAGCACAAGATTTAGATTTGTTTTCAGAGGGTCACTATGAGTCAGTGTACTTGATGGCAGATAATAACAACCAGCTCTCTTTTTTAAAGTAAATTCATCTTTCTCTTTATTTTCCTGAAGTTTTTGTAGTCTGAAGGGTTCTGTGTTTTCTGTTTTTCTCTTTCTTCTTGCTTTCTCTAGAAACTCCATCAGCTCTGATTTAATATTTATCCCAATGTATTTCTAGTCATTATTTGTAGCATTGACATCTCTCCCTTTTCTAAAATTGTATTTCTTAGACCTCTATGTTTGATTATTGAGGTAATATATTGGATTTAACCTGTCCCAAAGAAGTTTACTAATTCTTTATGCAGATTAATTCTTTCTTTTAAAGATTATCTCTGTTAGTGATGTCAGAATTCTTTCTGTTTTCTGGGCCTGAACCCTTGTAATTGTTCTCTGCTATTTTTTAACTTTACTCCAGGTTCACGTGATCCGAGAAGTGGCTTCCATGGCTCAGGAGAAGCTTGGAGTGTCTTGTGAAGTAATTGATCTGAGAACTATAATACCGTGGGATGTAGATACAGTTTGTAAGGTATGGATATTGGTCATCCTTGACTTATGTCAACATCTGGGAATGAAAACATTAGCAAATTGTATGCTGAAATATTGTATTTAATATATATAAGGATAGTATGCATAAAAGAACAAGAAATCAAACAAACAAAACCCCTCAAACAATACAGTTTTAAATGCAATTTTTCTGTATTTAAATATGTCTTTTGCTGAGCATTGTCTGTATGACGTATTTCATGATTGAATGTCATTTCCTTATTATTTTGAGCCAAATTTATTGAATATTTGCAAAGTATTGTTTTACAGTGTGAATTTTATGAGCTTTTTCAACTTATTTAAAACTTAAAATTTGTTACTGTAAAAGTATGTGGCCTCACATTTAGCTTAATGCTCAGGAAATGAGTCCCTTTAGGTTTCTTTTGTCTGTCATAGTGCTATTTAAAATATTACAAAAGTGTGTCCTTCATACAGCCTACTCAGGTACAGTTGTGTGAATGATGATATGGAGTAAAGAAAGAAGCATTTTAGGTATATTGAGGTCAACTATGATTTTTTTACTTGTTTTTAGTTATTGTCTGATAAGCTAAGTTTAATTTAGTCAGGTGAATATTTTTGCTGAATTGTCATTTATCTTCAAAAGAAATAGGAAAGGGTTATTTTTAAAAAATAACTCTTTGTATCGCATTAATACAGCAACAGCTGTGTGATTCTTGTTGATGATTTATTGTTTTCTATCTAAGTAATCTCTTTTTCTTTTGGTCTCATTAGGGTGATATTGTTCTAAAGTAAGAATTGTTGTTATGTGCCATCAAGTCGGAACTGACTTATAGCTGACCCTTCAGTAGGTTTTCAGAGACAGTAAATTGCACAAGAGGAGATTACCCATACTTCTCCTGCAAAGCAGGTGGTGGATTTGAACTGTGTAGGATTCACAAAATACCCTCTCAAGGATATAATTTTTGTACAGTAGATATCCATTGTTTTATTGTCTAGCTAAATTAATGTGCATATCTACTGCCATGCCTATAATGTTACTGAAAACCTGCTAGAGGGTCAGCTTTTACAGCAGTTCCAACTCATTGGCACACAACAACAACAACATTCCCATATTGGTACAAAGGCTAAGCTTACTTTCTCAATACCCCCCCTCCAAATTAGGTAACTGTGTTGTGTAAACTCAGCTGACAGATTTGTGTTTACCTGTAATGAGCCTTATATACATCATATGCAGTGTTAGCCAGACCATGGCCATGTCTTAGCAAGTGCAGTGATCATTGCTATGCTGAATCATTGCTTTAAATATAACCATGCATGCTGAAAGTGTGAGAAGGGCAGGAGTCTGCCCAAAATGTGGTAGGGAGCCATCTGTGTTCTTAGAACTCTTAAGAACTTGGTGTGAAAGTTCCTGCATGACTTGCATAATGTTCATGGTCAGTCTGATGCCCTTACAGTTACTTTGGTGAAGCCAAGAGCCTCACTAATGTGTGGAGTTCCATGGGGTTCACTGCATGCCTCTTCCCTCCAGTCTGTGTGGTACTGAAATAAAGACATGGTTAAGCCTCCTGCAACTCCTCAGCTGCCTGCTCAGGTTTATTTTCCTATTGACCACTGAATCTGAGTGTCTAGTGTTAACTTATTGCCTCAGACCAGACTTTTTCTTTTTTTAAATAATTTTAATGAACATTTACAGAGAATTTGAATTTCCATTCATTCATTGCTGCACTTCTCTACCCGCCCAGCCCTCTCCCACCGCCCCCCAGTTCACTCCTCTCTTTCAAAAGTAAAAGAAAGACTCCCTCCCTGGTACACAATCCCCCCCGCACTCCTCCCACCGCCCCAACAGACCTGACTTTTAATGTAAAGAGCAAAATACCTGTCCATGGATGTACCATCTTGAGGACAGAATTCAGACATGATAGTAATAATTATGTATATTTGCTTTTTATTTTTTCTTGATTTTTTGCTTTACAAAAATAGCTTTGGCATTCTATAGCTTTCATATGTGTTTTTTAGGTGACCTAAATTAATATAAACTCTATATAACTTCTATAAAAGTGTAGAATGAAGTGTTTTTAGGTGAGTTACTGTTTTTGTTTATTGTTGGTAGAAACTGACTTATAGCTGATCCTTCAGTGCATTTTCAGAGACCATTAATTGCATGGTAGGAGATTACCCATATTTCTCCTGTTGAGCAGCTGGTGGATTTGAACCTTATACCTTTGAGTTCCCTGCTCAACTCCTTAACTTTAAGCCACCAGAGTTCCTTTAGGCAATTTAGATGATTTTATAATTTGGTACAAGATTTAAGACTTGTTATAGTGAATATTCCCATAGAATCACTTGACACTCTCTAAACACTTGGCAAGATTACAAATGGTTGCAATAATATTCTGAGGCTTTAAATATACTACAAGCAGTTTTCCAGATATATATTTTTCCTAGAACTACATGGAAACAATGATACTTTTTGCTAGCATTATCATAGCATTCTGCTATCAAATTTTCTTTCAAATAGTGCAGTGGTCCTAATTATGACTAATGTGGAGCTGACAGTGTTTATACTCGACTTGACTTGCTTATGACAGCTAGCCTTCATGTGTTCTAAAGTTTGTATTTTTAGTGTAAATCGGGCCTTCTCATGGGTTAGGATGTCTTGCTGTTTAGAGTTTGGGATTATTGAGAAATGATCAGTGCACGTACTTTTAGACTTTTTCTATAGGGTGTGGCTTTACTGGCAATTTGACTTCACCAGGGAATCCACAGAAGAAAGATGGGTAATCTCCCTTATTTACAGCCTTTTCAAACCTGCTGGATGATTAGCTTTGTTTTAATTTCCAACTGGGCAAAAAATGAGAAACATCTAAAAAATTAATGTAATAACACCCCAGTGGAGAACTGAAAAAGCAGAATACAAAAAAAAAGAAAGAAAAATTGAGAGCTAGAGGAGAAAAAAAACTATTTATTTGCATTGTTATCTCTGTATCTCAATATTTGTATCCATTTGTGTGGAGCTCTGTTTTATTAAATTGACTAGTGATGTCTTTGTATGTTCCTGGTTTTGTGGTCCCTTCGATTTCTTTTCTCTTGAGACAGATGAAGGAGCAGACTAGAGACTGAATAAGGAAGAGGTGAATCAAGCCTGACTTGTTAGCATCGTTGTTTTACTTTTATGTAGAAGGCTTTTATCATGCTGTTTTTCTGTTTGATGACTTTCTAGTTGAGATGGTGAAAGCCAAATTGTTATTTCTTGATTACTCTGTGTCTGTTCATGAATCTTGTCATTGCTGGTACAATCTTCTTTTTCCTTTCATGTAGGAGAGAAGAAATAATTGAGCACTTAACTCTGTGATCTTATTTAGAGATTCTTTAAAGAAAAGGTTCCCATAACAAAGCATTGATATTAAAAGTTAAGTACTTTTTGTTTAATTGTACTTATGCTTTTAACTTTTACCTTATTATTTGTATACAAAATGAAAAATCAATATTTGTAATGCCCTTTACCTAGTGCTCAGCTTTATCAGTTGTTTTTGTATTACGACAAAATTGGATCCTGGAGCTTGATTTGTTGCTACTTAAATTTGACACTAATGCATCTTTTGGAATACTCAGACAAAATAAGTCGATTAAAGGTAAAAATGATGTATTCAACACATAAATTAGCAGACAGCACATAGTAAAATGGGTTTAGGATTGAATTGGTTAATGTAATCAGAATTTAATATGTTTCAAATATAGCCTAAGTTTCTGATTTATTAAGCTTTGCAACACTGTTGGAAGTTATAAATCTGAAACATTTTTTTGTGAACAGGAAAAGCAGTAGAAATTTTGACTACCCTTCAGGAAGGTGACAAAATTGGAGACTTGAGTAGATCTAGAAGTCACAGCCAGTTTTCTCCTTTAGTTCTGAATGTGGGCTATGGAAGAGCTAAGATGGAATCCTCTGAGAAGAACGGAAATTCCTCATTTTTGAAGTGGTTAGAAGACAGAATGGGTTCAATTAGAAGAGTAGCTTTACTATGTCATATAAGAGCTGAAAGCCCTTTATAGAGTGGTAAATTGACAAGAGATGATCTATAACTGGGAATTACGCTAACACAAAGGTAGGCAGTTTGAATCCACCAACTGCTCCATGGGAGAAAGATAGGGAGTCTCCTCCTTGTACACTTTGCAATCTCTGAAAACTAACTGGAGAGTTAGCTGTGAATAGGTCCTGACTCAATGATACAACAACTAACTTGGTTTTATCCAGAAGCTTAGAGAATGTTTCTTGGATACGTAATTCCAAGTCTTAAGCACACAGCCAGTCTACTTTACAAGTTATTTTCCAAAGTCTAAAATTGTGTATGGTGGGAAGCTAAAAAATAAATCAGAAGATATCTAAAAATGCTAAGAGACAATAATGCTTTCGAAGAAAGTTATGGAGAAGCTTGTTTAGGATTAGAGGTAAACATCAGTGGACCGAGTCTCTAAAGCCACCACATAATCTCTAACTTCCTCTATTTCTTCTTGGATTAATGTTATTTGTCTCTGTTCTATTAGCCCAAAAGGGCAATGAGTTTATCCTCCCATCCTGGATGGTTTTAACATCAGTATACAATAAAAAAATTACCAAGTATATGAAGAGAGTCCCACAAAATGAAATAAAGCACTCTAAAATCAAAGCCACTGCTGCCAATTAGACTTAGACTTAATGATGACCTTCCATTGAATTTCTCCATTGTAATTTTTTACAAGAGGAGATGGCCCAGTTTGCTTCCACAAAGCTGTTGGTGGGTTTCAAGTGTTGACCTGTGGGTTAAAAATCAAGCTGATGATTACCACGAGAATGGTTAATAACTGGAAGAGAGTGTGAGATGGTGCCTTTTTTGGCTTGCTAGTTACAATCAGCTTCTTGCTCTAGAGACGGACTACACAAGTTCAGCTTCTGAAAATCAAGTGCACAGAACAGGTAGGATATGTGCACTTTTATGTATACATATATTACAACACATTGCTGGTGAATCGATTGATACTTATGAC